TGTGTGTGTGTGTGTGTGTGTGTGTGTGTGTGTGTGTGTGTGTGTGTGTGTGTGTGTGTGTGTGTGTGTGTGTGTGTGTGTGTGTGTATGTGTGTGTGTGTATGTGTGTGTGTGTGTGTAGTTGGATTGTACCGGAACTAACCCACGCCACCCGTATCTGTGTCGTCTCACATATGGTCAGGTGTATGGCTTATACAAGTAAAAGATATACGTATATCAGCCACACACCCACTCACACCCGTACCTCTCTCGTATGATACAAGTAAAGTGTAAATGTATATGACCCACATTCCCACTCCTCTCTAGTCTATATTAAGATGCAAGTATCGTAAATATGTATATCAGCCACACGCCCACCCACACCCGTACCTCTCTCGTAGGATACAAGTCAAGTATATATGTGTGTGACCCACATTCCCACTCCTCTTTAGTCTCTATTAACATGCAAGTAACGTAAATATGTATATGAGCCATACACCCACCCACACCTGTACCTCTCTCGTCTCTCTCAAGGCCAAGTGTATGACCTGGTAGCCGTAGCCATGCACAAGGGACCCACAGCCTACGAAGGTCACTACACAGCCCACGTGCTGGACCAGGAGAACCACACCTGGTACAACTTCAACGACGATGTGGCAGTGCGTATGGATGGGCAGGAGAAACGCGGGGCGGGTATGCAATACGTTTGCATTAGTAGAGTACGTGTATAGATGAGGTTTGCACTGTTTATTATTATTATTATTGGGTTGTATATTCGTTTAGTACAGGCATGAACGATCGGATTGTGTACAGTTTGGGTACAGGTTTATATGAAGCGTGTAATATTTTGATGTCGGTTTAAATAAAGTACAGGTGTATATGCCGTGTTATCGGATTGTATACGATCCAAGCACAAGCATTTATGGTGCCTATACCATTGTACTATAGGCTAGCAAACAATTTGAGTACAAAGTGTGTGCGGAACCTATACCTTCTCCAATTGGATCGTATTCCTTAGTGAAATATACATACTTTTTGAACACGCACATTACACTTTTTGAACGTTGTACAATACTAGGAGTGTATATATGTATTTAGAGAACTATCTTATTTCTTAATAGTTCGTAGATGTTTCAGTAGTGCCTTCTGAACACACAGACAACAGGCCCAAACCTTTTCATTTAAACGTTTTACTTGTTTAGGGGTGTCCGTGTATGTATTCGGGGGACTCAGGCTATTTTTGCTACAATAACCACCAACACTATCCCTTTGTAAAGGTTTACATTCGGAGGTGTGTGTGTATTTCGAGAGCACATGTTATGTCCTACTAGTTCGTCGATGCTCCAGTTGTGTCCGCAGGATACACAGGCAATAGTCGAATCCTCACAGATACCTCATACCTAGTCTGATCGGGAATGGCACCATTTTCGCACTTAAACTGAATTAAATTATTCCAAATTTTTATGGCTGATAAGTATTATACGCTACATACCCAGTCAGTAGGAGAGTCCTCACAGACACCTAACCTATTCGTAAGTGCAGAGGTGCAAAAAAAAAAAAAGGCTATTTAGCGCACCCAAAACGAAAGTGAATTTTAAACGTATTTCCAATACCAAATGGGGCAGACACGAATATCGAAGGCCTCGGACAGGAGTGTGAGACCATCGACCAGAAAACCGGGAAATGGTCATCGACAAAGAAAAAGCGCAAATCGATCCAGCAGACACACAACGAAAGGGACGAGAGGGGCAGTGGCCGGGATGTGATCATACCAGGCCGATATAGTACAACGAATGCCTATATGTTCTGTTATAGGCGACGCGATACGTATAACATGACGGTTGCGCCTGAGGTGTGTTTTTGACAATATGAAAGAATTATGTGACATA